GATGCTCTCTGTACAAAAATCGTTCGAATGTTCCACCCTATGCACTGTGTGAGTATGAGAGAGGTAGATGTTGCCTGTACGTTTCAGTTTAAAAGTAATGAACATGGAAGCGTAAAACGCTATTGCCAATTAACATTAATATTATGGGTAGCTAAACATACTTTGACTGCATAGAAATATGTAGAAATATGTAAGGAAAAGAAAGACATCTATTATATTTAATTTAATATGAGCACTGATATTGGAACAAATCAATATTTATTTCCTTTATGTAACAATATACGATTTGTGAATTTACATTTTTAGTTGAAACGTTCACATAAAACTCCAAGAAAATTCTTTCATCGACATTCTGCTCCGTTTGAATAGGTATTAACGTAACATATATTCAAGTGCATTGTGTTCGTGACAAGGAATGAAACATTTGGGAACAGTTAGATATGAATGCTGAACTCGATGATCTAAGGTCTTCTTAAAACAACATTATACTCGCAGTATGAAATTCAAATTCAAACGCAAAGTTTGTTTAAGCGAAATGTCTGTTCCCCTTTCTCGCAAGTGTGCCATTTCAATATTTCGCACGCAGATCATTGAATAAAACAACTGAATTGCAACTATTGGGGAAAATCTGTACTTGTAATTACTAATATCGTAATTACATTGTTAATCATTACGTAGGTATTCCTTTAAAAAGTGAAAAAGTGAATTCAAGTAAAAGACGACAGATTACGAATGCTCGAGAAATAAATTGGATGTATAATATTGAAACAGTTGATGAAGCTCGTTCGAGTAACGATTTAAAATTTTCTAACGCTTCATATTAAATCAATCTGTGAACTTTAATCTCATATTGCGTACACTGTTGGAGAGTTTTCACTCATCCAACGTTTACTTTATCGCTTGTTTGAAATTGAAAATTTTAATTAAGAAATCGATGCAAGGATGCAATAATTAGGTAAATGCTTGCATCTTTACCGCGTAATGTATTTTTCAAATTGAGGCAATTGACAAAACGCGAGACAAACTCGACAATTGTTTAGGTTAGGTTTAGGAGTCAGGTGTCTTTTCAAGATTTCCTCCACGTTAAAAAGAAAATAAGTTAGGTTAGGTTAGGTTTAGGATAGGTTAGGTTCAGGTTAGATTAGGTTCAGGTTAGATTAGGTTCAGGTTAGGTCGTTTTCTTTTTTTTTTCCTTAACAATTAACGGAAAGCGAATAGCTTTGATTTGGATTTTGCAGACTCGGAGTACGAAGAGGAGCAGACCCCGAGGTACAGACCCGACTCTTTGGCGAGTCTTTGTCGAGCCACGAGATTCACCGAGGCAGAGCTGAAGAGAATATATCGCGGTTTCAAGGCAGAATGTCCCACGGGAGTCGTCAGGGAGGAAACTTTCAAGTGCATCTACTCACAGTTCTTTCCGCAAGGAGGTAGGTCCTACATCATGGTATAATATCTGAAAAATTTCACTACCGTTTTCCAGACTGTCAGTTAGCAACGAATTAATTCCCGAAAACAAGCTTAATCGGAAGATGAACCGTCGATTTCAGTCGTCCAACTAGAGACGCACCGATCGACTCTTTTCACCTTGACTCTGATTCTCAGATCATTACGCATAATATTACTGCCTTAAATAACTAATATATAGGCCACAGTTTTGTGAAATTATTTTATCTATTTTATACCATTGCGAAGAAGATACGGAATGATAATTATGCCGATCTATTCGATAAAAACGAAACAAAAGGAAAAAAGAAAAAGAGAGGTTAGGTTCAGCCGAATGCTATTTCTTCTTGTTTATTCGCGCGCGAGGCATCTATTCACATTTAAATTCCCTCTGTTTCACGATGACGCGAAGCTTGCTCGAAAAATATAAACAAGAGAACGAGAGATACGTAGTAGGTAGTAGGTAAAGAAAAATACAAAGGGGGTGAAAGCACGATCGAATAGAGCAAATAGTTGCATGATACTTGGTTGAATGCAGATAGGTGTGTGT